GTGTAAAATACTAATATACAATATGAATAGATAAATAAATATAATCACAAATTTATAAATTATGTCATTGAAACTGTTTGACCGCGTAAAGTTTGGTAAGTTTCAAAACGAACCCCCATAGAAATTAGTTRGTGACTCCTGATCTAGGGAATCTTGTAGAATTTTATTGATTTTGTTATTTTTAAGTAAGTTATGATAGTTTTAAAATGTACAAAAAAAAGTTATTTAAAAATGGTCATATGTTATAAGGAATTAATAATATCAATAAAATCCTCAGATGCCCTAGATTATATTCTTGCCTTTAAATTTACAGATTTAAATTACAGAGTAAAATGTAATATTGTTGTGGCGCAACATTTTCTATGTTGTACGTTTGTATGACAGAGAAAACAAATGTCTGTGTAGCGTCCTCATGAGTTTATCAGTTCTAATTTGAATCTGTCAGYTTATTACTAATTGGCTTATTAAAAATAATAATCAAGTATAAAATACAGCAGTATAATATACAAATCTATACTGAAAATATTTTTTATTTGACGTATTAATATTTTTTTGGAGTTAGTACATTTCTTTGAAGTTTAGGTTAATTATAGAAACTTAAACTTTTTTTCAAGTTTGGTTTGGTTTGATATTTTTAAAACTGGGTTTGACTTTTGAATTTAAACAGTTTAACCCACTTTTAATATTTAMCGTACAGGTATATTTGTTTGTTTATATTAGAAATTATAATAATTTCAGTATATTGGCAATGGTGATTTTTCGCAAGAAGCATACGATTTATATTCAAAACTTGATGGTCTTGCCTACGATATAGAATTAGCTACCTACTACCAAGAACACAACGACTATGAAAGTGGTATAAGTTCATTGGATCGTCTTATAGAACATTGTCCTTGGGCTCCTTCATTACGTGAGCAGCGATCACAATTGTATTTGAGTTCTGGAAATGTACAACATGCAATAATGGACTTGCGGACAGCTACTAAACTCCAAGCTGATGACACAGATGGCCATTATAAATTATCAAAAATTTATTACAGTATAGGAGAAGTATCTGAATCACTCAAGTAATAAATATTTATAACTATTGTTTATACCATACTGTATTATCATGTTCAATTATTTTCCAGAGAGATTAGAGAGTGTTTAAAATTAGATCCAGATCATAAATTATGTCACTCACATTACAAAATTGTTAAAAAAATTGATAGACTGGTAGTAGACAGTCAGTCGGCGCACAATATCAAAGATTTTTCTAGTAGTATTCAATTTGCAAAAAAGGTAAAATATTTTAATTAACTAAGATTTTAAGTTCCATTTCACGTCGCAAGTTGTAGTATAATTTTGTGGCTAAGTTAAATTGTTATGTACTAAGTATAAACTTAAAAYATTATAATATATTATTATTATTATTATATTATATTATGTAGTATGAACTGTTAAATTAAATTTATAAATAATTTAATACAAAAGTCAACAATTTAATCTTATGAGGACTTGTTCACT